TCCTCAAAAACCGCCCAGGGACTCTTTTCCACGCACGGCCCTGTCTGCGTTCTGGGCTTCCGCCTGTTTGCCATTCCCAGAAGGTCATTTGGTTAATGCACATTTGAGTTTTCATGGACTCTTAACTAGTTTTTAATCAGCAATTATTAGTGAATTGGAAGGCTGTGCAGGCGCATGCCTCTCTGCTGGCAGGAGAGTGCCCATCAATGTCACGTCAATTTCCATGCCAAAGGCTACATTAGGCCTGCAGTCTGCGAGGAAACAGCCACCTGAGTGCCTCATCTCCCCCCATCCACAGCAGTCTGCACATCAACTATTGACTCTATTACACAGCTCTGTCAAAAAAATTTTACGCTTCAAAAGAGGAGCAACCATTACATGGCTGTGCAGGGAGATAATTTAGTGATGCACATAAAATTAAGTGCATATCCATTGAACATTGCTCATTATTGCACTTGGATTCCTACAATGCTGAGGCTTGTGCAGAGATCCTGGATGCTTCCCAACCTTTCATTTCAGTCCCATTTTCAAGGTTTAAACACAGGCTGATTATTGAGGCTGATGTAGCATATAAATACCTGTCATTTTCATCTATAGCTCACCTTACCTGTAATTGGCAATTAAACATGCCAGCAGCTCAGACTGGCTCTTAATTAGCGTTAAAAGAATGCTGAGAGGCCCTGAGGTGTCCTCCTCGCACAGACTTAGGGTTGTGTCTCTCCTGCGGCATGAATATGCATGAGATCCAGGTGCTCTTCCTCCCTGTCTCCTCTTCCTCACGCGGTGAAGGCAGAGGACCCTCCTCTGGAACATCTCTTCTTCATCACGGCGCCACGGCAGCTGCAGCGCTTGTTGCCATGCTGCATCCTCTCCACACTGTGGCTCGTGTCTGTGTTTGCCAGGAGCTGTCACATTGAGCCTGTTAGCAAAGGCCCATGGGAAATTTATACAGAGCGGATGGTGTGAGGTATAAGGCCATCAAATGAGCTGGTAACACGCTGCTCTAAACACTCTTGTTTGGTGATTATATGTTTGTGCTGTACTGTGTGAGTTAGTAAACACCGTGAATTTTGATTTTTTCATAATGAAAAAATGAAAAACAGAAAAATTAAAGATGCAGATGATGATACATATTAATATTTAGACCCTGCTGCTCAAATATCACAACATTTGGTCTTTGAAACAAACTTTGCAGTCACATTAACAACAGCCTCTCCCTCTCTCTGCAGTGAGCTGACATTTAGCTCCCATAATGACGCCTGATTGTCTTGAAGCATTCCACCAAAGACCTGAATCGTTGTATCTGAGGGCCGAGGAGTGCTGAGCTCTCTGATCATAATGGCACTTTTAATTAGCACTTAATTAAAGGCAGGTGGACTGGAAAGGTCAAGCAGTCAGACAGCCTGTGAGTTAAGGATACAGAAAGTGAAGGCATCAAACGTTGGGTGGATTTGTCTGCTAATTACAGTGACCAGGACCTGCTGGACGCGCTACAGTCAGACCTGCTGTTGGAATTAAATCTGACAAACCCTCCAAGATTCAAATTCGGACAGCGACGGAAACATTTTTATTACCTTTCAGATGTCCTTACTGGAGGTCCATGCATGAATGAACATTTTGTTGCGTCACACAATGTTGCAACATTTGGCCTCAGCGGGGGCAGAATTTCTCTGTTTGTGATCATATTTAACATGACGACTGAGGCCTATTTTGCACGACTGCAAGCTTATTGGCCTCCAGTTCACAGTATTTCATGGATCATAAACACTCGCTGTTCATATTTTCATAGTTAGTCATCAAAAAAAGGCTCACAAAGAAATGTGCACTTACAAAATTAAACCTCGAATATCTGTGAGCTGCTTTTTCCTTTTTTGACACCTTAGAGGAACTTTAATCATGGTTACTTTCACACTCTACAACAACGTTACGCCAATATAAGACTATTAAATCTTTTTTTTATATATTGACACCTGTTGCTGGACATGCTGTGTTTGGTTAGTCTGGGCTTTATAGGCTCCTCCCATCATCTCCCGTCATTATATAATGTCAAGTCTCTAAATTGCACTTTGTGTTAATGCAAACAGACTCAAGTATTGTCTGTCTGCATGAACCCTTTTTGTATCAATTAGTGTAAGAAATTTGCGCTCAGGCATGACCTTTAAAATTTCTGCAAAGCTCATCCTCCTCTATGTTAATATATAATTACAGTTATAAAATATTTAATTCTTTCATCTATTTTTTTAATCTAATTTTATTGTATGTCTTCTTAAATGTCTACTGTATCTTTGAACCAAAAACACCAGGACAGATTCCAAATAGACACTCAATCTCAGTGACAGTATGTATGTATGTTCTGTGTTTGTTTTAGACATTATAATAATAAATCTATTTAAACTTTTCAGACATCTTACTGAATTCTCTTCTTCGTGATTCCAGCACATCAAATCGCAGGTCACGAGCTGGCAATAAAATTTCTATTTTGTGCAAATTCATTGACTGATCACTGGACCATGAGTTTACAAAGAGAAATATTATTGTATTAATTATTTGTAAAGACAAATTTATAGACAAAAGAGAAAAAGTATTTGAGTAAAAAAGGATGTGAATTTAGTTTAAAGAAACATTCACAGCTACATTTTTCAGGGCATCTAAACATCAGGTTTTAATATTACACTGATGATCAATTACATTATATTTGTACTGTCATCAGTATGAGTCTTGAGTACATTTTACATCTAAATTTTCTTTACTAAATTTTCAAATTGAAAATACAGATATTTAATAAAATACATTTTCTGAAAACTGAAATCCCAAAACCTTCAACTTGTTTTTCACACGTGCCTCATTTATCTGCTCAAACATCAAATTACGTAGTGTTGTAAATTTTTCCGATCTGTACAATTTCACATATTTTGTGACAAAGCCCCACACTTCTCTGTTGGAAAAAAAAAAAGCCAAAAATCAAAAGCATTTTCTGTGAAAGTGAAACAATAATCCAGACAATTGGATTACCATTACGCTCATTACACACACACACACACACACACACGGCAGCAGCAGCAGCAGCAGTGTGATCTAAACTCGTAGTGGCTCGGCTGTGAAAAAACAGAGCCGGGAACAGTATTGATCTCAGTCAGAATTATGGATCACGGTGTCTGAATGAGTGATGAAGCTGTCGGGGTGTTGGTCTCACCTGACAAGCATTAAAAAAAACCTGAATACCTGAATTTAATGCAGCACAAACACTATGTTTAACAATGAGAACCAACCACAATAAACATGTAACTCATGTGCTCAAAACCTGCAGGAGGATACTCTTTAGTATTCAGTCATTGTTTCATTAACCTACGCATGTGATCACCTGAACCTAAATGAAACACTGAACAACCTTTAAGAGACAGAGAGAGAGAAAGTCTTTGACATTTGCAGGTTGAAGATTTTTTTTTTCACTTCTTCTGTAATTTATTTCTTTGTCTCCACCTAAAAAGAGAGTGAATTTTGCTCCTGACATGTGAAATGAAATTCTCCAAACACTGTGACAAACACATCAAAAGTAAAGCCTCATACTTCATGTGTTTGTGTGTGTGAGAGAGTGTGTGTATCACCCTCTCTGCTATTGTACGTCTCTAAAAGGCCTGTCATGCAGCCGCCTGTTTGCTCATCTACTCATCACATCCTCAGCCCGTTTATTCCCTGAGCCTCGGCTAATATTGATGCTCTCCATGTGATGCCGCTGATGAAAAAATAAAGCACTGACGGGATGCTGGGATTTTTCTCTCTCTCCCCCTGAAAGCGCTGCTGCCTCTCTTTTTTCCCAGCGTGGTGAGCCACCACTGAGGGGCAGCAGAATTACACGCCAGCACTCAATTGTTCACGAGGTCCCTGAATGCATCTCAGGGCTCAGGATCTATTAATCCTGCTGACTTTGGAGCAACCTCAGAGGATCCAAAAACGCTGAGTGAAATGTGACACGCAAAGAAAAGCACCCTTTAAATTAAATTCAGGCACAGTCGACAGATTTTTTTTTGTCAGCGTTCAGTTGTGGGACGTCAGCAGATGCTTAAAATGAAGGAAAGTGAATCCCTTTATGACGGTATGATTCAGTAAATTTGGGATAGATTAGTTTCACTTTTTTCATCTCTAACATTTTTTTCCATCTTTACCAAAAAAATCAAAAAGATAGAAAAACAATGAAGCATGAAAACAGGTAATATAACAATTCAGTTTATTTTATTTATTTTCCAGACAGACACATCAATTTCTGGACCACAGTAGAGGATGGAAACCTTTCACAGACATTTTTTTGTCAATATTATTATTTGAAAATACAAATATAAAATTAGACTTTCCACATTTGATATGTGAGAGACCCCCATCCATTATTATTATTTTTTTTTAGTATATTTTACAACAGGGCTTAAGCAAGCCATATGATAACCTGAAAGATGCTTTCAGATGTCAGTCAAGTCTGTCTGTCTCTCGCCATAAAAAGTCGGTTAACATAAAAAAAAGGGGGCAAGTGTTAGGAATGGGCCGACGGCGGTGCGGAGAGCTCTGTGCACAAACATGGAAGCACAGCAGAGCCTCACACTGACGTCCATGCAGTGTGTCTGAAGAGCTCGCAGGCTCCCCTCCAGGCTGTGCGCTCTGCTCCCAACTCAACAACACGCCGGGGGTGAACATAAGCTAATAATGAACCTTTGTGTGTAAGTGTGTGTGTGTGTGTGTGTGAGGATAACTGTATACAGCTGAGGTCTCCAGTCTAATCAAATGAGTGAAAATTGCAAGTATATACTCATCTTTACACAGATATTGCAATTTCATGTATTTATTTATCAGTGGGTGTGGGTGAGACAGCGATGATGGGACTAAAGGGAAAATCCACCCCAAAATAAAAACAGCATAGTTCAACATGTGTCGTTTCTGTCGTCTTAAAGGGTTCACTCAGATCTCTGACCATGAAGCCGTCTCTGTTTTATCCTGTGACAAGGAAGCAAACACTATAATGATGGTTGTGTTACAGTGAGACTCACTTTGTAGGCTGGGACACTAACTTTGTGGTCACTATGACAGTATCCAGTATCTCTCAGAGATAAGGGCACATTGTCTGGTTTTAAAACCATTAGCACCACGATGAATGAGCCTCTGTCGGGGTGAAAATGCTCAGAAACCTTCAATAAAAGTCGGTTTAAACACTGAGCCTGAAACGATCCTTGTATGTTGTCTGACTTTTTCGCATTCACAGCACAGATTTGAACCCAAGGCGACAGAAAGGTCAGAAGTCTGCATGCTCTCAGGGTGGGATTTCCCCAAAAAGGGATGGGGGGAAATAGTTTGGCCATTGCCTAGCACTTGCCTCGAGATTCAAGTTTAAATGGATACGGTAGTACACTAAAAATGTCAACACCTCTCAGGTTGACTTTTTTATCTTTTTTGATTATTTTTTTTCTTTAAACCAAGACCCCTCCCCTCTCCCCCGAATGGATAAGCTAGTCTACTAAGATGTGTAACATTCATCAGCTGTAAACTGCTGTCAGTTTGAGAGAAAAGGAAAATTACAGCAACAGAGCCATGCTACCTTAAAGTCCAAGCTACAGGATCACAAAACAACTCAAGTTTTTCATTTTGTGTGAGGGAAAATGAGCCGTTTCAAGTTTCTCTTCTTCTCTTTCAGTCAAAGAGGGTTAATTATAGTCTGAGAGCCATGAGGCGCTTCAACAGTGAAACAAACAAGGTAATGTAGTTCAGCACGTGTTGCAGTTCTTGGGTTTTAGATGAAGCTGTAATGAAACTAGAGTCATCTGCAGCTCTTGATGAGCTTCTTCTATCTGTTCGTAGGTGGTTTTGACTTCAGTCTGAAACTTGATAAAAACACTCAGATAAATTAAAGACAAATGAGCTAGAGGACCCTGTTTTGATCCTTTCAGAATAAAATCAACTACAAGGCTTGGCACAACTCCTGTGCCATTAACCGCTAATCGAATCTAGATTTATTTTTTGACACTTTAATGTGCAAACGGAGAAAAAAATCTGCATAATTATCGAGAACATGTTTGCTAGATTTAGTCATATATTACGCAATTATCATTATTTATATAAGCTTTATGTTATTTGACTTGTCAAACATGTGGACATCATCTTTGGGTATTTTTCCCTGTTTATAAACAACACAGTGTGTCCTGTTTACTCGGTGGGTTAACTCCAAATTACTGGTGTCTCTACAAAGCTGCCATCACTGTACAAACTGTATGTAATCTGATGGTCTATACAGTCTGAAAAAAATGAGTATATTATTACACATGATTCAACTGTAAAACTATATGAAGTGAAATTATTTAGAAAAACAACTGTAATAAAATGTCATTCTGTTCAGTAAAATCAAACTAATAAAAATAACTAGATGTGCTGGTCGGAGTTCCAAGACTGAATGTCCGTATGTAAAATGTGTTGTTTGTGCCGCTGATGTTAGTACAGCAGGGCTTCATTCAGTGTCCGACAAAGACACTGCATGAATTTTAAGGACCCTTTGAGCTTTAACGATAAATTTAAAATCTAATATTTGATACTAAAAACAGATTTAGGGCCCTGATCTAAAAGTATTTTTCAACATTAAGAAGTTTTCAAATCTTTTGCAGCATGTAAAGTTTTTTAGTTAAACCTCTTCATTCTAGATATTTGTGCACAACACTGCTAACAGATCAATAAAAGCAGTTCACGATTCAGATGAGCTGTGAGAATTTATAATAAAAGTTTTTTAAGAGCAAAATTTTAGAGATTAAAAGTTGTATAAACTTAAAAAATGCCAGTTTTGAGACATTTTTAATAGTGCACAACTAATTAAAGGTTATTTGAGTTGACTATGACTGATATTAGCATTATGGTATGGTTCTTAAAAAATATGATCTTCATGACATAAAATCTTTTTTTTTCATGATTATAGCTTGTGTCCCTCTTTAAAAAAAAAACGACCAAAAAAAAAAAAAAAAAATAAAATAATAATACAAGTTTTGCATATCTAGCATTAGCATTTAAGGTAGTATGGCACACCCCTTTTAAAACATTCAAGGGTGGGGATCCAAATAATGCCTTGTGAACAATTCCATCTTACAGCAACGCTTTCTCTATTGTTCATCCATGAGAGCTTTGGTTAGCTGAAACCATGTGAGAGTGGCAAAAAACAAAAAAATCAAAGAGTCAAACATACAGGGAATAAGTTACAATGAACCTCTATCAAAATAAGAGTCTGCAAATATCTGAATAACATGATCATTTAGAGAAAGGTCTACCTTGACTGAGTCCTAAATCCACTATTCACTACGAGTATTATATTAATGAGTCCTATATAACATCTACGTTGTACTTACAGGAGATAGAAAAAGAGCGCGAGGGGAGGGAGGGGTAGATATGAGAGAAAGGAGAGGTAGAGCAAAGGGAGAACAACAAAGACCACTACACTGGTATCAAAGACAGCACTCTGTTTACAAGTTAACTGTGGTTTCTTTACACACTAATGAATCGTACATGAATGAGCAACAAAAAGAAGGAGGATCTCTGAGGATGGGGAATGGAAAGAGAGAAAGCAATGGATGCACAGTACATTTTAATAGTATATTACAATTATTCATATATAAACCACAAAGTATCCATAAAACTCTGATTAAACTTGAAATCAGCAAAGAAGCATCTTTCTTTTTTTATAGTTTTGTATTTCTTCTTTTCTTTTACATTTGAACATTACAAGGGTATTTTTTTTCTCTTTACTCTTTAAATTATTACTTGATCACACCTCTGTTTCATTTACTGTAGAAGAATCCAGCATATTTCTTTACCTGGTTGTTTTGAAATCAACGAAAATCAGACAGAAGGTGGGTCAGAAATGAAACAAAACAAATACACCTGCAGCAGGTTAAGTACTTTCAGAATAAAACAACCTTTCATCCCATGAATGACTTTTGAAACTGGACTGCACTCCGGAGAATATCATTATTACTATTATTATTAAATGTTTGAGTAAAACCATTTAGCACTCACACTGTGTAAAACCTGGTGCAGCGACGACAGAGAGTGAATAATTCAGTGTTGCCTCTCGACCCTGTTTAAATACCCTCAGATGAGACATGGGTCTAATATAGAAAGAAATCCAAGTGTACACTGCAACATATCAGTTATATTTCCAACGTCACAAAACTTTAAAGAGTTCATCTAATCCAGAATACATTTACCCATAAATCCTTCATACTATCCCAAAGCACAGGGCCGTTTTTAAAAGCCAACATATACATGTGCAAATAGGAAAAAATGGCCTGTACTTCACTACTCACAGTGCAATGATTACTCGCTTTATTAACCTTTCAGTGTTTTCTTTTTGTTTTTGCCACGAGAATAAATTAAACCTGCCCCATGATTCCACAATAGAAGTCACAAAGGCTGAGGTATGGTATCAAAATGTTTACTCTTCCTAATTCATTAAAAAAAGAGAAAAAGAACCGATTCAGAGAACAAGTGGTACATTAAAAAGGACTCCGGTAACAGAAGAGCCCGGATTTTTGTGTTTTCTGAAATCAGGAACAAGCAAGATGAAACAAACAAGAACGTACGACTAACAAGTTCCTCTCAGTATAAAAGTGTCAGGATGCACAGAGCACTGGAAAACGCCTGGTTCAAGTTCTGATCTTCACCTCTAAGTACAGTGTGCTTTGGATTAAATCACCTTTTTTTTTTCTTCTTCTTCTTCTTTGAAATGATACTGATATCTCGCACAGTTAGACAAAAGAGACCAATCAGGCTCTTTTATGACTTCTTTTAAAACTGTGTTGACTTAACTCTCCGTTTGTAAATTTGCTGGTATGACACTTTATGTAAAATTATTCAGCTTCAGTATTTACAGAGCAAAAGTATGTTCTGTTCAGTCTCCGGGGTCGTTTTCCAGCAGAAAAAAGGTAGAATAATAACTGTTTACAGCTTTTTTTCTTCTATTCACACGCTATAACATGTTTTCTTTTGACACACCATCACAAAAATATGCTATTCTCTCACTGAGTTGGTTATATGCAGTGACTGGAATAATATGTACAGCTACATTTCTTTTTCTCAAGTTTGAATTCACAATGTAGTTATATGAAATTTGTTATAGCATATATATATATTTCTAAACAACAAAAACAACACTTATAAAAAAGGACCATAAAAATATTGGAGTCCTCTTTGTATTGCCCAAAAATAGGTAATTATGGTTAACAATGAGACATCACAAGAAATAAAACAGCTACTAAGATTTATTACTTAGATACCCTCTTTAAATTTTCCTTAAAATTGATTTTTTCTTTTTTTTTTTTGTCACCGCATCTCTCCGCACTGAGCTTCTTCTTTTATTTTTGCGGAAAGACTGATCATTCCTCCGTTACACTAACCGATACAAAGATGAAGACATGACTTCAGAATTTCTTGGCTATGACCCCCGTACTTCAAACATAATCCAATTAAAACAAACAAACTAAAAGATTAAATAAAATGACACAAAAATTAAAAGGTTTAACTAAAATGACTTTCTAAAAACTAACAAAAACAAAAAGCTAACAGAGGAAAGGAAACAGGTGAATGAAATCGACGTGAAACATCATACCAAACCAGGTTGTAAAGTTATAGGAGGTTTGGATTATAGTACAGCAGTTATTTTTCTGAGATGACTAACGTTTTCTTTTCTTCTTCCTGTGGTTCCGACTTTCGTTCTTTTTGCCCGGGTGATGCTGTAGTGCTTGAAGTTGGAGAGCATCACCTGCACAAAGCCAATTAGAAACTTCGTCCTGTCTTTCCTGGGCCACCAGATATACTCTGCTGGGTGACAGAGAAGAAGAAAGAGGGAAGTCGCAGCATGAGAAAACTGTCATTTCTGTATCATAGAAATGCATAATAAGAAAAAAATGGAGGGGGGGACATTTTCAAATCCTACTGAGGGACTGACTACGGTGATAAATAAGTGCAGCAGGTGAAAACTTGCTGCAACCTTAATAGAAGAGATCATTACAGTGCGGACCACCCTGCTAAGACACGTGTGTTAGTATTTTAGAAACTCTAAACTTCTAATGACCGTCCTTTAGAGCTTCGCAATCATGCATGCATGCATGTCCAACTACTTTCTAGTGTTTGAAAATGAACTTAAATGGGAAAAAAATAAAATGTTAAATGAGCACAGACATGGTCAACACATCACACAATAGAACTACAAAGAAGCTGGAAGCACACAAGAGCTCACAACAATGTGAATGGGTTTTATGGATTCTAGTGTACACACCTTACAGGGGGCGCTGTTAGCAAAAGACATGAGTTACAGGGACAAAATAAA